GGATTTGGGCTGTGAGGCACGGTCTATTTCCTGTGGTTGAAATGACTCAAGTCCCACCAATGGGACTTAGTCTCTGCAGCTGAAATAATTTCCCATTTACTGAACCAAGTGGGAAATAGCAAGGCAGACACAAAGGGTTTGCACCAGGTCTGGAGACACAGGGGACACCGTCTTAAAGGAGCCGTGTCCCCAACAAGTCTGGGGACACGCCCTTAAAGGGGCAGTGTCCCAATCTTCCTGGTGTCCCAAAAAATGTGTTTAAAGGGCCAGCACCAGTCACATAAAGAGTCCATAAGCCCCAATATGCCCACCGACAGTCTTAAAGGGCCATACACACCAAATAAAAGTGCATACATTTTCACAATCTCCCAGGGGCCATAGTCAGGCGGGAGGAGGCTGGCAAAGAGGCTTCTCCACAACCCAGGGAAACAGGGCAATTTGCCATTTAAAGGGCCCGTTACAAATAGCAGTTTGTAACAAGGTGTCGATCCATATCTGCCAAGTGACCCGATGTAGGGGGAACAGTCCCTATTCTGCTCTGTGTCAGTGTGTATCAGGGATCCTTAGGACAGGTGTCAATCCATATCTGCCAAGTGACCCTATGTAGGGGGACCAGTCTCTATTCTGCTCTGTGTCCGTGTGCATCAGGGGCTCTGAGGACAGGTGTCAATCCATATGTCAAGGTGTCAACATGTCATATGTCAGGTGTCAACCCATATTGATTGTGATTTAGGAATGTTAGGTGATTTCTGCCCTTTATGGATTAAAACCAGACTCTGTATCAACTGTGTAATTTTCCATGGGAGTTTTGCCATGGATCCCCCTCCGGCATGCCACAGTCCAGGTGTTAGTCCCTTGAAACAACTTTTCCATCCCTATTGTGGCCAGAAAGAGTCCCTGTGTGTTTTAAAATTCGCCTCCCCATTGAAGTCAATGGCGTTTCGGGCGGTTCGCCGGTTCGCGAACATTTGCGGAAGTTCGCGTTCGCCGTTCGCGAACCGAAAATTTCGGGTTCGCGACATCACTACTGCCAAGTGACCCTATGTAGGAGGAACAGTCTCTATTCTGCTCTGTGTCAGTGTGTATCAGGGGCTCTGAGGACAGGTGTCAATCCATATCTGCCAAGTGACCCTATGTAGGGGAAACAGTCTCTATTCTGCTCTGGGTCAGTGTGTATCAGGGGTGTGACGGAACCGCTGGCACCCCGATCGGGTACTTTCCGCCGACGGATGCTCCTAGTGCTTTCCGAGGACTCCAAGCACTCTGCCCGACACCATAACCACTGCAGACCCCACGAACTGCCACAGCTTGGTTGGGGTCTTGCCGTCTCCACCCACTCTGGACCCAAGACCAGGGTCCAGCTTCCAGTAGGTCGACCTCTCCAAATTCCAGAGAGCAGGAACAGGAACAAGCTCTTAACAGAGCTTAGTGATTATACCCTGGGGAGTATAGTGATTATAGCAATCCCCAGAGTGTAGTTTCTCCAATCCCCCAAACATGCATGAAGGTACAAGATGATCTGAACCTTTAATGGCACATACTCTGCTTTTATGCAACTCTCCCCTGCAAGGGAGACGCCCACAGACAATTATACATTACCCAATCACACAATGGTTACATCCCACACATCTCCTCCCCTTAGCCTGAGAAGTAACCCAATTATCAATACATTTTAAAACACACTTTTTACCCAACTTTCATAACTCTAAAACCATACATCCAATATTAATAAAAGTCACATATGATTAATCAGCACATCCCAAATACAAACATACCCAAAAATCATGCACATCCTTCCATTAGTTAAAAAGTTAGTTAGAAGTCCTTTGTGACCAAAGGAAGCATGGCTTTTCCTGCCCAAACCAGTTCCCACTGGTCTGGCAGTGTCCCTGGGACAACTCCCTGCTGGAGAACAATAGACAGGAAACGGGGGAGGGGAAGAAACAAACCTTCCCATGGATTCCAATGGGAAGAAACTGTCTTTAGAAGCCAACAAGCCCCAAATAGTCTTTTTAAATGGCAATACACCCCAGGGCCATAGTCATGAGGAAGGAGGCTGGCAATCAGGCTCCTCCAAAAAGCCGGGGGCAAAGGGCAGCTTGTCACCTAACAACTCAGGGACAAAAGGCATTTCGTCAATCCATATATGCCAAGTGACCCTATGTAGGGGGAACAGTCTCTATTCTGCCTGTGTCAGTGTGTATCAGGGGCTCTGAGGACAGGTGTCAATCCATATCTGCCAAGTGACCCTATGTGGGGGGAACAGTCTCTATTCTGCTCTGTGTCAGTGTGTATTATGATCTCTGAGGACAGGTGTCAACCAATATCTGCCAAGTGACCCTATGTAGGAGGAACAGTCCCTATTCTGCTCTGTGTCAGGGTGTGTACTATGGTCTCTGGAGACAGTGGTGTCAATCCATACCCTGCCAAGGACCCCATGTAGGGGATGGAATGAAGCCCCTATTCTGTTTTGCGTCAGTGTGTATCATGATCTCGAAGACAGGTGTCAATCCATATCTCGCCGCTTATCCCGCGTAGAAGAACAGTCTCATTTTGCTCAGGTCAGTGTGGTATCATGTTCTCCGGAGGACAGGTGTCAATCCATATTTCTCCGCTGCGACCTACGTAGGAGGCGAACAGCCCCTATTCCCTGCTCTGGGTGGTATCAGCTCTGAGGACTGTGGTGTGTCAATCCATATTCGCTGCGACCCCATGTAGGAGGAACAGTCTCTATTCCCTGCTCTGGTGTCAGTGCGGTATCAGGGGTTCTGGAGGACAGGTGTCAACTGACACCGAAAGTGACCCGCGGAGGAACAGCTCCCTATTCGCGCGCCTGTGTCAGTGTGTATCAGGGGCTTTAGGACAGGTGTCAATCCATATCTGCCAAGTGACCCTATGTAGGAGGAACAGTCTCTATTCTGCTCTGTGTCAGTGTGCATCATGTTCTCTGAGGACAGGTGTCAATCCATATCTGCCAAGTGACCCTATGTAGGAGGAACAGTCTCTATTCTGCTCTGTGTCAGTGTGTATCATGGTCTCTGAGGACAGGTGTCAATCCATATCTGCCAAGTGACCCTATGTAGGAGGAACAGTCTCTATTCTGCTCTGTGTCAGTGTATATCAGGGGCTCTGAGGACAGGTGTCAATCCATATCTGCCAAGTGACCCTATGTAGGGGAACAGTCTCTATTCTGCTCTGTGTCAGTGTGTATCATGATCTCTGAAGACCCATTCCATCATTCGTCTTTTGGTATAGCAGTTATAGGGACACCAGAAAAAAAGTGTCCAGCAAAAGTAGAACAACCACTTCATTAATTCACTAGCGCTGCACTAAGCAAACCGATAATTTTCCCTATGCAATATATATATATTATTTATATAACAGTCCCATTTAAGACATATGTAGTATTTGTTAAGTGGTTACTTTACTATAATAAAACAAAATATAGAATTTTGTGTAAACTGCAGCATGCATTATCGTATAGATAGAACGGTTCTGGTGTACCTAATATACCACACAGGAGAGAGGGAGACAGACTAGCACTAAGCTGCTCGAAAACTGGTAATGATAGGGATTCACTAAAAACCTATATAGAACAAGGGAAAAGAACTCTCTAGAAGAGTGGGAATACCAGGAGCTGGCTAGGTGACTAATGGCTAAAATACTAATACATAGAGATAAATATAAATATAAAAAATATAAATATAAAAATATATATATGGTACTATGCCTTTAAATCTGGAATTATCGTATAGATGCCTGCTTTAGCAAAGTACTATGTAGCTCTACTTTTTGTATTTAGGCAATATGCCTATATATAGTCATTATTTATAGGTTGTGGTGGTACTTTTGGGAAGATGCAGTTTCATAAATGCCATTAAGACCTTACAAATGACTGTAAGCTATCTATTGCTAATTTATTACTAATTCATTTTAGTTATATTCTTTTCCTGAACCATGCTGTAAATTAATGTTTTTGGCATTTGTATTTTTATACTTGGTAGCAAAACTTTTCTGGAAAGTTTAAACATTTGGAAAACCCTGTGATAATAATTTCAAAATCTACTTTAAGCACTAGTTAACAGTTTTCTTGGAGCGTTATGTACACTATCGATAAGTATTCTGTGATGTCAAAACAGAAACTAAGTCAGAACAAACCAAATCATAATGACTTTATTAAGATGGAAACACTACATATTAAGCATTGCCAAAAAGTTCATATTTTTAATGGATAAAAGAATGTGTCAAGTAATCCATAGAACCCAAACATTCTTTAGGTACCAGTTGAGGCTGGATGTTTTGAGAATGAGTGTCAGAATGAGTGAAAATTATGTAAACTAAAATTGACATATTGTAACACACAGTTTGTGCATTACAGTTTTCATTCATAAGGTATGTCAATAATGGTCGCATACACATAATGATTATATATAGTACATACATTGTAAATCTAGGTCCATAAACACAAAATCTAAACATATATCATGGTTGATGTGACAAACATTTCATTGGTTTATGAACTCCCGAAAGTGTTACCACTATATCTCTGGACCTAATTTCGGCAGACGCCACGCTCGCAGTCAGTGAAAACTTTAACCCGGTAGTGATTCGGCTGTGTTTGTGGGATCTGAGCGCTATTTGGATATGTTGGGCGCTCAGATACAGGCTATCCGAGGATATAATGCCTGTGGAAGTTCAGATATATGTTATGTGTATTTTTAATGATTTTTATTAATATTTTATAACTCTAGTGCCTGATAGATAACTAGATTAGGTGCGTGGCTTGGGCGCTGATCGCGATGGCAGCATAGAACACGAGCTCCGCTCCACCAGTCCCCAAATAGCCCATTAATCAGCGACTAATAGCATTTATGGGGCGCCACAGATGCACAGAACCCTCCCAGACCCCCAGGGGCACCCAACAAGGACACCAACTTGGTCCGATGGACTTTTTTTTACAAAGGTCACCCGACACGAGCGATGACATGGGAGGCTCCAAGATGGCGCCAACCTCCCCTGCACAAGAGGGACCTGCGGCCTCCGCCTTAGAGCGGATAAGCGAGGAAATCCGTACCATGATGGCAGCTATGGCAACTAAGGCCGACCTATTGATCCTCACTACCACAATCCAAGATGCCCTGCGGGCGGAGATGGCAGGGCATCAACACGGAGGTGACGACACAGGCAGGCCCCATCCAGGACCTGGAGCTCGCTAATGAGGCCCAAACCTCAAGGCTGACATCGACGCATACGGCCTTATCCCGACAAGGGGAGCTGCTCCTACAAATGAGGAGGTCCGTTGAAGACCTAGATAACCGCAGACGTCGCTGTAATATCAGAGTGCGTAAAATACCTGAAGTGGAGGGGGTAGAGAAAATGGAGGAAACTCTAACCGACCTATTTCACATGATCCTGGATAAAAAAAAAACTCAGACTATCAGATATGAGCGAGCGCACAGTGCCCTGAGGCCCAGAACGCAGGAAGAAGGCCCAAAGGACATAGTTTGCTGCCTCCACTCGTTTCAGGTAAAATAGGTGATCATGAAGGCAGCTCAATCCAGCTCTCACTATCGCCAGAAGAGCCCTGCGGCCTGTTACCACGGCACTACGGGAACGAAACATACAATATAAATGGGGCTTCCCCTTTGCCTTGCTCACACAACACCGGAACGGTTGGGCATCAGTGCGATGGCCAGAAGAGGTGCCCTGATTCCTGGAGGAGATGGAGCTCCCACTGATCTCAGTGCTGGATTGGGTACTGGGACAGCTGGGGGAAAGACACCGACCACAAAGACCAACACGGAGATGCGTAGACCACTCCCCATTGGGCCCGGCACCTAGAAGACGCAACCCCAGGAAGCCCCAGAACAGTAAGTCCCCGGCCCCGCTCTTGGGCCCTCATCGAGTCCCCTTCTTAAGGTACACAGAACGCAGGGTTGCATGGGCCCACACACATCAGCGCTCCCAATTATCATGACTACCCACACACCCCCCCCCCTTTGGTACAGGCCAATGTGGGATGGCGGGACCTTCTATCCTTGATCTCAGGCTCATGCATGGAAGCCCCCCAAATGTATAACCGGACAGAGGATGTTACCCAATGGGGTTGACAGGAAAGGGGATCCGTTACAGTGTTGGGGAGGGGGATGATCGCTGGGTCAATACGAAAGGGTCACACTATGCCCACTTGATCTTCTGTCCTGGGTGCATGCCATAGATGAAGGAGGACCCCTACCACACTTAATACAATAACTGGCAGAATTAATCACAATCTAAAACATATCGGACATATTGCCTGGACACCCTCATTCCTCACGGTCATCTATCCAAATGAAGTACTGGGCACAATAGTTGACATAAAGGTTATGGCATTTATGATATTTATGTAAGCAAGGAAAGGGGGGACCACTGAATGACATCGCTAGCATGTTACATCCTCAGTTTATTCGTGGGCAGAGCCGGAACCCATGGTTCTAAAGGGGTAAGCTGACCGGAGCAAGTAGACACCTCACACAAGAGAGGGGGACACCACTCACAGTATAGGCACAAGGAACACCCACAATGCAGACACAAAGACCATTTACAGCACAAACATAGGGAAACATACCATGGTCCCCACGAGCCTGCGCAGTTCAAGCTTGCTGGTACCACCACCATCCATCATACAAAAAAAAAAGGGGGGGAGGGGGGAGGGAAAGAGTGAGCCGTGAGTCGGAAAGGAAATGTCTAATACCAGAAACAACCAAATTATCATATCGCAACATAGTAAGCGGGACAGCACAGCTCTCAGTCCCACCAAGAGCTCACGAGATGAGGGAAGGGAGTTGTTTATCAAACACGGAAACGCAGTGATGGGCCTAGCGGAGACTGGAAGAGCAAAAGAGGGAAGGCCTAAAACCAGCATAGCAAGGGAAGCAGGGAGGGGGGGCATGGGAGGGGCAGAAGAACAGGGCAAGGGGCGGGATGTTACATGGGGAGGCCGGAAAGGGACAGGCTATTGAAGGTTCAATGTTGGTTATTGTTTATTGTTATCTGTTTTATAACATTATGCTACTTATTACACTTTTTTGTATCTCATGTGGCGCCATGTGCAGACTTACGCACTGGGAGGCGGTATGGATGGAGTGGAACCATCCCAACGTACATTCTTATGACACACTAGTTCGGGACCTTCCCTGGATCAGGTCCAAGCTGCGACCCATGCTTTAGACTCGTGCAAAACCCAAACTACAGAGTCCCAGGCACGCTAACATTCAGGACTGGTTACCGGGTTGGCCCCTGGCTACTCTCACTGTTGCACGAGTGTTGCTTCCTTGTAGCGGGGAGGCGACGGAACTTGCTCTCCCTCACTATCTGAGGGAGATTTTACCCTTCAGGAGGACCCCTGTTCCTCATCCCTATCCTACTACATATCACACATTACACTCTCACTCCATTCCTCAACCTATCTGTCCCCGATCTGACAGACATCACTATATCACTATAACCCACCCAGACAGCACACTTGGTCCCCAATTTAGACCGGGGGGGGGTGGTAACTCATACACAACCTAAACCCACTGCTCGGCTTGCGACCTCGACCCCCTTGTGGACTCATACCCTTGCTTTCTTGGGGAACAGGTGCTCGGACGTGTGGCTATGGCCGCTGGGGGAGCCATGGCATACAGAGAATGCCCCCTGTCCGTCTTGACCCTCAACTGTAGGGGACTAAACATACCCGAACGCAGAACACATCTCCTGGGGGAACTAAAGAAAAAACAGGCTTCGGTGGCGATGCTGCAGCAAAAACATTTCCTAGTGGGCTCAGTACCCAGACTCTGAAATCAGCACTACCCTGTTAATCACTTCAATAACCACCCTATTGCTCGAAAGGCGGGAGTGG